GCTCCGAGGCGTGAGGCGCGCGTCGAAAAACGCCGCGCGATGGCTGCAATCCGTGTGGCAGCTGCCGCCTTTTTGCGCAGCAGCGGCGCGATTGAGGAGAAGGAGGCTCGTCGGATTCGCAACGCGGCCGCGGCTCTCTTGCAGGCGCCAGAGACGTTGTGGGGAGATGGAGGGAGCCGACGCTGAGACTCACTTCCACCCTTCTCGTGCAAAGGCTGCCTGGCGCGGGCGGCGCGATCGCGTGTTTGCCTCGCGGCTCTTGGCGTTGCCCACCGACCCACGCGTGGTCGTGCATTCCGTCTCGCTCGTAGCGGGGGTGCGCCGCCCCTCCCCACGCGAGCCACCATCGGCCGACCGGGCACGCACGTTCGCTCAGGGGCCTCGAGGCATCAACCCAACAATGCTCCACATGGCTCTCCACGGAGTCATTGGCCACTCAACCCATACCTCTTATGCGGCCGACAGGTGCTCGCGCCGCTCGGCCAGTTGTGGTTTGTGCTCGAGCTGGGGTCCCTCCTCCGCGTGACTTCCAAGGTCCGCAGTCCACGCCGACGCACCGCGCCGAGCAGTGCCGATGGTAGCGCGCAAGTTCGATTCGAGGAGATTTTCCAAGTTCGCCTTGTCGACGTGGAGACCCGGAGCTTCCGCACAGCGGAGCGGTGAGTTTCCGAGTTTCGGCCTCGCCGCTTCGTCTCAACACTCAAGATCAGCGCTACTTTACACATCGTCCCGTGAACAGGCTGCGCGAGCTGATCTGCGATTCGGGGCGTGATGAGGCACAATTCACCCAGCTGCGTCCGCCCCGCGGAGGGAATTCAACCTTATCACGACTATCAGAGGGTATAGATAGATTATGGGATGGGTCGCCTAGTACTCATGGCCATCATGCGACCGCAGGCCTCCGTCGAGACGGACTTGGTACTCACCCTCTTTGGCAAGCACGAGGTACGGCCTGTCACGGCCTGTGCGCCCTTCTCGCTCTGTTGCACGCCGGCTCTTCACACCCGGTCTGTGAGTAGGAGCGGCCGGTGCAGGCCCTCGGCGAGGCTTACATCAATCTGCGCGAGATGGCGGCCTCAGGTGTGGACTTTGCGCCCCCGCGTGTGCTCGAGATCCTCAATAGCCGCGACGAGGCCGTCGGCCATTTCTCCATCTCAGTGACTGCTGTCGTTGCCTTCACTGCGCTGCACTACTTTGTTTGAGGGCGGAAAGAAGGGCGGCGACGGAGCGCGCGGCGCCCGGGCGCGGCGAGGCGCACCCGTCAGGGTCTTGACGAAGATCTGCATCGCGCGCGCCCGCCGCGCGCAGCAAGCACTCTGACTGAGCAAGAGCACGCGCTGCACACGGGATAGATAAAAGAAGCCGAATCGCCAAAACGCCAAGTGATCGCAGAGGGAGGGCGAGACTGTCACACACATACATCAGAGGGGAATTGAAAAGCGAAGGGGGGTGGGGGCTGGGGGGGTGGGGTGGGGTAGGATTTGGGGGGGGATGGGGCAAGGAGTGAGTCCACCGCGGCGTGCGGCGGGGCACCCCACTCGCGGTTGGTACACTCGACGAGCTGTGGCCTGTGCCTGTGCACTTAATTTCTTGCGTGGTGGCTTCGATGGACTCTGCCAGTGCCGAGACTGACGAGACGCCCTCCTGGCTCACGGGCGCACAGGAGCAGCTCCTGCACACGACGACCAAGGCGTCACCGGCGGAGGAGGAGGAGCCGGATTGGCTCTCTAGCGCTCAGCAGCACCTGCAGGGCGCCGAGGTAGAACAGCAGCGCCGCATGCAGGAGGCGGTGGCAGAGGCGGCGCGCGTGGCGCGCGCCGAGGCCGAGGCCGAGGCGGCGGCGATGCTGCAACGGGCGGTGGCGGAGGCAGAGGCGAGGGCGCGCGCCGAGGCGGCGGCGGCAGCGCAGGCCAGCTACAGGCACGACCCAGCCGAGGCAGAGAAGCGGCTTCAGAAGGCGGTGGCGGAGGCAGAGGCGAGGGCGCGGGCCGAGGCGGCGGCCGAGGCGCGGGCCGAGGCGGCGGCGGTAGCGCAGGCGGCGGCGGCGGCGCAGGCCAGCTATAGGCACGACCCGGCCGAGGCAGAGCAGCGGCTCAAGCAGGCGGTGGCGGAGGCGGAGGCGAGGGCGCGGGCCGAGGCGCGCGCCGAGGCGGGGGCTCAGGCGCGCGCCGAGGCTCGTAAGCTCGTCAACCCCTCCCTCGTCGCTGCGCTCGACGGGATGGCGAGTCGGCAGCTGTCTCTTCTCGACAGCCCGAGAGGCACCGACCCGCCGCCGCACGGGTCGGCGGGCAGGCCCCCGAAGCCGCCGCCGATGGGCAAGCTCAAGCTGGAGGCAGCCACCGCCGCCGCCGCCCCGCCGGGCCCCGGCGCTGGCGGCCCTCTACCCGCCGGTTGGCCCACGGGGTCAGCGCTCGGTAGCATGCTCAGCGCAGACAGCATGCTCGATGCAGATCCTCGCATCCACACACCCGCACCGCCCGAGAGTGGCCCCCTGCCCCCACGCGATGCTGCCAGTACGCTGCACGATGCTCTCTCCGACCTCCACCCCCCCCCCACC